CCTTATTTTCAAAGTTAAACAAGGAAGATGCACTCCTCGTGATTCCGATGACACCAAGAGACAAATGCAGCCCACCGAATATGCGGGACCCCTCGGGGCTGTTGACGTCAGGACCAAGGGCTGTAAATACGGCTTGCTGAGATGGGCCTTCTGGGAAAGTGGCAACAAATTCCCAAACAGCAGTTCAGCGCTCTCTGAAGGAGACAGAGTGGAGGCCCGGGGCAAGGACAGGTCTTCAAATCCAGCTCTCTCCACCTCTGGTTTAGCAAGATTAAATATATTTTTTTTCAATATGAGCCCCGTAGAGCACGAAGGTTGACAAATCAACACCTTTTGGTAGTCCCTGGCCTCAGGGATGTCCAACTTGCCTCAACCCTACCTGGTGGAATGAGCTCCCGTGTGAGATCAGGGCCCTGTGGGATCTATTACAACCCCGCAGGGCCTGTAAGATGGAGCTCTGCCACCGAGCTTTTGGTTGAGGTGGCGGTTGTCAGTGTTCCCTCTAAGCTGAGTTGGTGTGAGCTAGCTCAGTTTTTTAGCCTCCAGCTCACACGTTTTTGTCTTAGCTCAGGAAGGAGGGCTCCAGAGCAAACTAATTGATGCAGGAGCCAAATGGCTTGCTCACAGCTTTAATGCCAGCAGCTCACAAAGTAGAATTTTTGCTCACAAGACTCCACAGCTTAGAGGGAACATTGGCGGGGCCCTCTTTGTGTGCCCCCGTCAGCAGCCTGGATCCTTAAAATCCTTAAGATCTTAATGCCAAGTTGCCAACTTACCCACTGAGGTATCCAGTTCCCACTAGTGTTGACATGCTACCTAGGAGCTATGTTATTTTATATTGGGGTTTTGTTTTAATCTGTTTAATTGTTTTAATGAACTGTTTTTAAACGTTTTATGGAAATTCTGATTGTTGTTATGTATTTTACCCTGTGTAAGCCACCCTGAGCCTGCTCCGGCGGGGTATAAATCGGAATAAATAAATAAACGATCTGGTTTTAACTGTATTGTATTTTTACACTGTCGGAACCCGCCCTGAGCCCGCTTGCGGGGAGGGCGGGATATAAATCCAAATAAGCACATGAAATAAAACTTCGCTCCTCTTCAGCCCCCAAACGCTTGCCTAAGTAAGGCTCTGCACTGCTTCCAGAGGACACTGGGGCCCTCTCTGGCTATCCAGAGCTGGGAACAGCTGCTGATGGTTCCCCTTTAGTTAGCGCGCTGTCCCCACGTGGCACAGAGCACAGCCCCCAGAGACCATTCCACATAGGGCAGGATTGACGAAAGATCTTCAAATCTGGCATACTGACCTTGCACAGGTTTGCTTTCTAAAGCCGAGGTACATACTGAAGACTGAACACTGGTGTCCTCCCGCATGGTTGCAAAACTGAGAGCACCACAGGCAAGCAAAGACGAACTGTCGACTTTGGATCGGCAGGCGCAAGCCCCTCATCACCCACCAATCCACTCTCTTTTTGGCTTCTCTAAGGTAGGAACGGTGAGTATGGATGGCGACAGGGAGTCATTTTGCACCATTAATAGAACTTTCCTTAAGCGGGCGCTTGCGTTTCTTCATGTGCTTCAAAGGCACATCTCTGCTCTGACATCGGAGTGAACTCTCTTAAAAAGCACACATACCAGGAAGGCGGCAGCGATCCAGCAGTCTTCCTATGTGAAAACAACATTCCAGTAAAAATAAAACCAGGATGTTCAAAGGAATTTCATATCGCTAGTTGGGCTGGCAAGTAATTGTGACAGGGAGACAAACTCGGGTTTCTATTGTTAAAAGTTCAGACAAAGCCTACATTTCTTTTTTTTAAAAAAGAAGGCTAAGAGGCAACACACGAACCACATGCAGAAACCCTGGCTCAGTTTAAAAGCGGACACGCAGACGAAAAGCGAGCTGTGAAAAGAATAAGCGCCGCAGTCTGAACGCCCACCTCCTTTTGAAGACCACCCTCCAGAAAACCAAAGCTGCTCATGCACAGGTGGTGTCTGCCTTTGCTCAACGGCAGCCTCCTGGTGCTCACGATGGTTTGAGGGCAAAGAGGCCGGGAACCTTCAAGGCAGCTCTGAAGAGGCCAACATGCTCCTAGACGCCTCCCTAACAATGGAGGCCCAGGTAGCAGCCCCTGCCAAATCGGCCTTTTACCATCTTCGGCTGATCGGGCAGCTGGTTCCCTTCCTCGAACGCAACGATTTGGCGACAGTGATCCATGCGATGGTCACCTCGAGATTGGATTACTGTAACGCCCTCTACATGGGGCTGCCCCGTCTCAAATCCGGAAGCTGCAGCTGGTGCAAAATGCCGCGGCCAGGCTGTCGATGGGACTCCCTAGTCAGGAGCACATTCTACCTGTGCTAAAGGCATTGCACTGGCTGCCTATAGCATGCCGGATCCGTTTCAAGGTGCTGGTTCTTACCTTTAAAGCCCTTTATGGCCAGGGACCTACATACCCGAGGGACCGTCTTTCCCCACATGTACCCCAGAGAGCACTGCGATCAGGGGTTCAGAACCGATTGGCCCTCCTGAGTCTTAAGGAGGTCAGGCTAGCAACAACCAGGGCCAGGGCTTTCTTGGTGGTGGCTCCATTCTGGTGGAATGAGCTCCCAGAAGAGACCAGGGCCCTGTGGGACCTTTTGCAGTTCCACAGGGCCCTGTAAAATGGAGCTCTTCCACCAGGCCTTTGGAGCCGCCGCCGCCACCGCTGACAGCTTGAGATGGGAGAGCCCTGAATATAGCCTGAGCCAGCTGCCCAAGACGACCTAAGACTAGAGGACTGACTGCGAACTGTGTAACAATTACCTCTGTGAAATTATGAAATTATTGATACTAGCACTTTATTATCTTTATGGTTTTAGCACTGTTTAATTGTTACACACTGTTCCTAATCGATTTTATGTGTATTGTAAAAAATTCCGATGTTTTATGTAAGCCGCCCTGAGCCGGCTTCGGCTGGGAGGGCGGGATGGAAATCTAATAAATCAAATCAACGTGGAAATTCCTCTGCCGCTGACCCACTGGCATGCGCCCACAAAATTCCTCTGCCGCTGACCCACTGGCATGCGCTCCGGAGCCCGAGAACAAGCAACTTGGTAGGAGACTTGTTAGAAGGACTGCGTGCACAAAACCCAAACTGCATTTCATGGACATGAGCACAGATTGGAGGAAAACCTGCTCTGGAAACAGTCACGTCCAATGTTCCCTCTAAGCTGAGTTAGTGTGAGCTAGCTCACAGTTTTTTAGCCTCCGGCTCACACGTTTGTCTTCGCTCAGAAAGAATGGCTCCAAAGCAAACCAAATCGCTCACTCACAACTTTAATGCCAGCAGCTCACAAAGTAGAATTTTTGCTCACAAGACTCCACAGCTTAGAGGGAACATTGGTCACGCCCATCATTACCGAACCTGGACACACAATGGGCCTCACATTCTTATTTCAGTTCCACCGTAACCTCCAGTTATGCTGCATCCCAATACATTTTCCCTTGGATTACAACGCGTGCGCTCACACACAGCGCTCTGGGACACAGATTAACTCCGTTTACTAGTCAAATGTCCATCATCCCGATATCCTGGGTGTGTGGAGGGCTTGTCAAGGCACCAAGGCTCCGCGGGTGGCCGGGGGAGGAGCAGGCGGCTGGAATACCCAAACCAGTTGAACTTGCTTCGTTTAAATTCCGCAGCACACGGTTCAATCGCAAGAACAATTCTAATATGCTACAGCGGCCATTTTTCACACGGTGGTCCAGGGAAGATCCACGGGGGCCTGCAGGTCCTTGACGTGGACAGACAGCAAACCCTCCGTGTCCATCCAGCTCATATCGCTTTGCTAGCAATGGGGCCGGGAAGTGAGTTTACAGAATCACCACCAGCCACGGTCAACCTCGCTCCCGGGTCACTTCAGAGCGCTAGCCAGAAAACTCACGCAATATACAAAGCTTGCCTTCTTCTGAGTCCATCGAGGTCAGCATTGTCTACTCTGACTGGCAAGCAGCCCTCCAGGGTCTCTCTCTGGTGGAGGTCTTTCACGCCCCCCTCCCTGATCCATTAACTGGAGATGCTGGGGACTGAACCTGGGACCTTCTGCACACGAGGCGGATGTTCTGCCCTGAGCCGCTGCCCCTCCACAGATTAGCTACCCAAGATCCAATAGCTCAGCCCTAGAAGCTACGATTAGCTGAGTGCAGCAAGAAGGCACTTACTGCGTAGACTGAGCTGGTTTTCATTCTGTTTTGCAACACAAAGGATTTTCCCCATAGAGGGAGAAGCACACCACTGCATCCATAAGCAGCAGTAGCAGCAGCCAATGGTGGTTTTTCAAGTGGATGCTGAAGGTCCAGGTGGCATGAATCTTTTCCTGTTTCAAGAAGAGGAGGAGGAGG